TAATATTTTCATAATGTTAAGACAATTTTGGCAGAAAATTACACTGCACAAAAAAAAACAATGCAAGATTCAAGGGTCACACAACTCACAGCCTGTCCCAATGCTTTTCTAGCGTGATTCTTCTGTGTGCTCATTGGCAACAAAATAGGTTCATACTGCCATCTACTGTACTGGGGTAGTCTACAGTATAAAATATTCTGTTCTGTTCTATTGACCACTGTTTCTAATGGACGGACTCTAAAGATGTCAAGAAAACTACTTTTCACAATAAAAATTAAAAGCAATAACGTCAGACAGTAATGTCAAACTTCAAAATCAATTTATGTGCATTTCATGCATTTTTATTTTTACAGATAAAAGTATAGTACAGTTAATATTAATAATGTTACTGGGAAATACTAAATGCACAAGAAAATATGGGCTCTTTGAGCTATAATTTATATATGACTAAAGCTATAATATACATACATACATACACACACACATAGCATATATATATATATATATATATATATATGACTTGTTTTCATATTTATTTCATATATTTTGGTCTATAAACTCTTATTCTTGCAACATAATGCTCTTTTTTATGTTTATATTAGATGAAATATTAAATGCAATTAAAAAGGTTTAGATTTTTTCAGCATTTAATTAAAGGTATCAGACAAATCTTGTATTTATGCTTTAAATTTTCTTTTTAGATCTTGTTTTATACAAAATGTTCTTTGAAACGCTTATATCCATATATACTATTTTAGACATGTAAAAATGTTTGTGCGTGATTCAAAGTATGGTTTAGTCTCAAGTTCACTTGGTTGAAACCCCAATTGTAAGTCGCTGTGGATAAAAGCGTCTGCAAAATGACTAAATGTAAATGTAAATGGTTGAGTGTGACAAAAATTACATCATTGCTTGATTGCAATGGTACAAGTGCACACTGACTAGATGCCATTTCATGAGGAGGCATGACAGAAAGTTGTGGAAATAAGTTATCATACGCGAATGTATTTATACACTCCTAAAAGACGTATGGGCGTAAACTGTGGACATATTTACACATTTTGGTGTTTCTGCCATGGAAGTGAGATTGTTAGACCTATACAGTGCACTTTGTGTTGATGTCCTTTTAATAGCCTATAGTAATACAGCTGTCCCGATTTACAAACAGGCAGCACCAAAGACCCCAATATACTCACTGCTAAGTTCTTTGTTTTTTGTCCAGGGATAAAAAGAAACCGCTGCACACACTGTGATGCTACCAGTGCTACTGGGATTGGGGTTTAGATGAGAATGTAAATATGTGCTACATGTTAATCTCTCAACAAACACACAACAGAAATGACAGAAATGGCAAAAGGGCAGTTAAGCATCTGATCATAGCAACAGAAGTTGGAGAAGTTGGTGGGCATGTGCATTGGATGAAACCCAATCCAAAGTGCACCTCACTAAAATGAAGTTGTTTATTCTTGATGCAAATAGAATTAACGAACAATACAAATGGACAAAAAGTTAGATAAAAAGAGTTTAATCAATGAGTAATTAAAACAAATACAAAAAAAGAGAAAAACAAGTAAAAGTAAAAACTAATGAAAAAGATCTCTATCTTTTATAGACTTAAAAGATAACCAAAACATCTCAAGACAAGAAGACAAGAGAAGCAGTCACCAGTTGCAAAGTTACTTGATAGTAGCTATACCTTGCATTGGAAAATGGTAAATATATCATAAGTGGCAGAATAGCTACATGTTCCAAGTATAACAAACAAGTTAAAAAATACATATGCTAGCACTATAACATTTTGTAAACTACTTTTTTTCTTTCATAAAAGAGAATAAATGAACTAACAGTCATGCATGAGAAAATTATATGTGAAATTTAAGAATAAAACTTCTTTTGGGAGGAACTCCATCTTTGAGGTTATATGAAGCTCACACTTGAAACTGGTGATCATGAAGATGAACATGGTTCACTGTGACACTGTGAATGATGTTGATCCTCATCCTTACACAAACTGTGGCTGGTTAGGACAGATTTATACAGAAGATAGCTTAAATCTGTTGCATAGATTTGTTTTTGTTGTTGTATGACTGCGTAGAGAAGCTAATTTATTAAAACTCTTCTCACTTGTTGGGCAGCGTTTACGGCTTCTTTCCAGTATGGATCCTCTCATGTGTTTTCATGTTTCCTAACAGAGAGAATCTCTTGTCACAGTGCGAACACTTGTAAGGTCTCTCCCCAGTGTGAACTATCTGGTGCTGTTTCAGTTCAGAATTTGTAAAAAAGGACTTCCCACACTCAAAGCACATAAAAGACTTTACAGAGCTGTGTCTTTTCTGGTGCAGTTTAAAAACACTCAGCAGACTAAAACTCTTTTCACACAAAAGACACGAATAATTTCTGACTTTAGCATGAACTTTCTGGTGGCTCTTCAGGGCTGATTTCAGAATAAAACCTTTGCCGCACTGATCACAGTAAAACGGTTTGTTTTCAGAGTGGGTATGTAGATGTATTTTTAGAGTGGAACTGTGTGTGAAACTCATACCACATTCATCACACGTGTGTGGCTTTTCTCCAGTGTGGATTTTCATGTGTACCGTAAGGTGTGATCTTTGTGTGAAACTCGTCCCGCATTGATCACATGTGTGTGGCTTCTCTCCGGTGTGAATTTTCATGTGTTCCTTTAGGGATTGTTTGAGTGCAAAACTCTTCCCGCACTGATCACATGCGTGTGGCTTCTCTCCAGTGTGGATAGTCATGTGTACCATAAGGCCTATTTTGCTTGAAAAACCCTTCCCACACTGATCACATGTGTGCGGCTTTTCTTCAGTGTGAACCAACATGTGGCTTTTAACGGACTGCTTTAATGCGAAACTCTTCCCGCACTGCTCACAAGTATACGGCTTCTCTCCAGTGTGGATGATCATGTGTCTTTGAAGGTGTTCTTTGCGCGTGAAACCCTTCCCGCATTTATCACATGTGTGCGGCCTGTATTCAGTGTGGATTGTCATGTGTTGCCTAAGTTGTAATTTGCATCTGAATCTCTCCCCACACTCATCACATGCATGCAGCTTCACTCCTTTGTGGATTTTCATGTGTGATAAAAGGCTTCTTTTGACGTTAAAACTCTTCCCACATTGATCATATGTGTACGACGTCTCTCCAGTGTGGATTTTCATGTGTCTCAGAGCGCTGTCTTTTTGTTGGAAACTCTTCCCACACTTATCACATGTGTACGGCTTCTCTCCGGTGTGGATTTTCATGTGCTCCTTAAGGTGTGCTTTTTGTGAAAAACTCTTCCCGCACTGATCACATGTGTGCGGCTTCTCTCCAGTGTGGATTTTCATGTGTTTCTTAAGGTATTCTTTGCACGTGAAACTCTTCCCGCACTGATCACATGTGTGCGGCTTCTCTCCAGTGTGGATTTTCATGTTTCTTAAGGTCTTCTTTGCACGTGAAACTCTTCTCACAATGATCACATGTGTGCGGCTTCTCTCCAGTGTGGATTTTCATGTGTTTCTTAAGGTCTTCTTTGCACGTGAAACTCTTCTCACAATTATCACATGTGTGTGGCTTCTCTCCAGTGTGGATTATCATGTGTTCCTTAAGGTGTCTTTTGTGTGCAAAACTCTTGTCACACTGATCACATGTGTGCAGTTTATCTTCAGCGTGGATCCCCGCCTGCAGCCTAATGGCTTTTTTGTGTTTCTGCTTGTCTCTAGTATGAATTCTTGTGTGAAGAGAGCCGGCGACACTTTTTTTCCTTTCTTGTTCGCATCCATCAGGTCTAAAATAAACATATGATATCATTATAAATCAAAAGAGAGGCAAATGTCAAATTAAAACCAAAGACCAAATTTGATGAACTTTCAACACAAAGATCTTATCTTGTTAATACCATCAAACTTGGATCGTTTGATGTGCAATGACTGCACAAATATGAGCATTTTTATGAGCATGATTTGTAATGCTAAAAACAATCATTCTGGGACAGATTACAGCTGCCTTGTAATGTCTCTAATTCTTTTCTACATTACTTTTAGTATAAGAATGAGTAAAAATTTTTTTAAAGGCCCTTTCACAAAAAAAAAAAAAAAAAGTGAGAGAAACTGCAGAAAGATTAAAAAAAAATTTGACTTCACTTTGTGATTTATAGGATATGGATTGAAAAAAAACATTAATTTTTTACTGAGAAATATGGCAATTTCTCCACATTTTCTACTTAATGAGAGTTTAAAAAAGGAAGGAGAAGAAAGAAAAACACAATCTTATGCCAGTTTTCATCTCGATTTTTAGTTGTTTTAGCTTATTTTAAAGCATTTTATATCATCTTAAGGACCCCTGGAAGTTTGCTGAGGCCCCCTAGTGGGCCCTGGGGCCCCTGGTTGAGAACCACTGCCCTACAGCGATTCTCCAAGGTTAGAAAACACACAGCCAATACAATTGGCTGAACTGTCCTGAAATATATCTTTTTAACATTATTTGACCATATGAAACACCATGAGACAGCAGCTCATAACTTATTTTATAGCTGATTTGAAATATGTTATTGAAATGTGAGTTTGGCAAGCAGTTTTTTTATAATTGTTATTTCCACATTCAAACAGATACAAGTTGGTCTTGCATGACTGAAATAGCTTTATGCAAACAACTCGCACTGAAGTACTTCAACGCATTCATGAAATGCAAATGTTTTATTCAAAGTCATTTTTGGGTTTCTGCTCATATGTGTGGAGTACAAAGGCAACGGCAACTTCAAGTCTTTAATGCTGAATTCAGTGCACTAACACCACCAGAAACTGCAGCAGTGCTGGACATATGACACAAAAATGATAACTTACTGGAGTGGACACACTGTCTGAATAAAAACAGGGTCGCTTCAAGAAAATACTTGTGCCTGGTATGAATGGATTTATAGGAATGAATACACTGGTTCAGTTCGTGTTTTGTGTGAAAGGGCCTTTTTTTTCCATCATCTTAAGGCCAATTTGGAAGTTTCCTGAGGCTCCCTAGTGGGCCCCCGGTTGAGAACCACTGCCCTAGAGTGATTCTGCATGGTTAGAGAAAACACACACACACACACAATGAGAGATTGTGAAAATTCTGGGACAGATTACAGCTGCCTTGTAATGTCTCTAATTCTTTTCTACATTACTTTTAGTATAAGAATGAGTAAATGTTAAACTGAACATTCTTTTGAAGCAACTGAATTACTGGCAGAGAGACGAGGACAAATTTTAATGGATGTTAATGGAAGAGAGGTTTCAGGATACTAAATACCCTGCTCTTATGAGAAAACTTCTTTTTGCTTAATGAAATGACATCCTGTTCTCTAATCTTCAGTGTCTTTACTATCAAATAATTATCTTGCAGTGAGCTACAGTTGGAGTTTACAACAACAACAAAATATGCTGTTTTATTAAAGTCACAAAAACTTTGCAACAGGTAAAGACTGCATTTATCAAGATAGTTCACTGGTTCAGTTCGTGTTTTGTGTGAAAGGGCTTTCAGAATCAACAATTGCCATGCAAATTTTCACTATTTTGGGCTTTTTCTGTTCCCAAAATGTATATGAAATTTCAAAACCAGAAGCACTCTAATGATTTTCTGACTTTGACCACTAAATCCAGTAAGTTTCCTGAAGCTGATATCATGGTCTTCGGCAGCACTAATGAAGGATCAAGAACAGACACAAACCTCTTTGTTCTTCAGTATCATGCTGTTTCACTCTGCAGGGTTTTGGATCCCTCGTGTTCTCACTGTCCTCTCCCTTCAAGTGTGAATTGTGATTGTTGTGTGGTAGTTCTGCTAAAAAAATAAATAAAATTACATTTCCAAAAAGAAATAATAGTAGCGTGGTCTTGAGTTAGTTCAGTCAACTCAGAGTTTATGCTGATCTACGGACATTTGTATGATTCTCAACAGAACGCTGAATCCAAGAGTCACCACAGAAGCACGCAATACTTCTTTAATTTATATTTGGCAATTATCATTTAAGCAATTTAATTACTTCATACTGTTTTTGATAGCTGTGAACAAGATTTGTTTAAAACAAGGTATTGTGTTGTTTGTTTAACGCTAAAAATAAAAAATAATGCTTAATCCAACTTTTTTTAAAAAGTAGTGAAGGAGACTATAGCATATAACATGCTCCGGAGTTGCACTATGCAGGATTTCCTTTCACGAGAAGTTTAAATGAAGTAACTTACATTTTAGACACAGTATTGTCCGATTTTGCTCTATAGTCGACGAAAATAGGCTAGTTTCAAACCAATTCACAGCAGAGCCGTTGCGCCTCTTCGCAACACAGTGATTAGTTCTCAAATGAGTCCATCGTCTGAATGAATCGGCTGAGCGAATGCTTCAATGACCCCTTCATATGTTACTTCTCAAACTGAACGTTGCATCCTAGTGATCCTAGTGAGGCTATGACTTTCCTAGACCAGTCCTTATAAATCTAGGCTGGCCAACCCCCCCACCTCCCACCCTCTTTGAGTTCACCCAACTGAAAATACCCCTGTTTTAGCACTGGTCGTTCACACCTCAGATTAGAAGAAGTCTCGAGAAATGGGTGTAAAGCAGTGGAAAAGGGAGAGTGTCGAGCTCGAGCAGGCGTATTCAAATGGCGGACCGCTTGGGACACGCCTCAAGCGCTCAGGGTCGTTTACTGTAATGATCTTTCGGCGTTATATCCTCTAATATGTTTATTTAGAGCCAAACGTGCTTCATGCAAGCCCTTCCCGTGAGCGTTGCTTCTCTATAAAGACGCGAGCTGCACTGATACTTTCGCAGAAAACAACAATGCTGCAAATATAGTTATTTTTACTTGTATATGACTCTGACCGTGCAAACCATGTTTGTGACGACATTTCTTTCCATCTACACTTTTAATCAGCATGTTAAGAGTCAAGGCCTGGAAGTTATGTTATGTGCATAACTTTTCTCCACATAAAGCAATCTTGTGGAATAATGTTCATATTAGTTAACCGGAAATCTCTTTATTTACAGAGTTGGATGGATAAAGGAATTTATTTTTTATCTGACCTTTTTGATCAGTCAGCCGAGTTGCTTTCTTATGAAAATTGTATGAATAAATGGGCATTTCCTATTAAATGATAATAGTGATAAACGCCATTCCCACAGGTTTATTGATGTTAATGAGAAGCCATATGTTGTCCCTTAACATTTGTAGAATTGAACCCGTTCTTAATTTAAATGGGGTGGACATTAACAGTAAAAAATGCACAAATAAATTTATTAGAAATCTATTTTATGAAAAGAGATCTATTAAGCCTAGAGGGACATTTTTCTGGAACATTTGTTTTCCAGAGATTATTTGGAAAAAAGCTTGGCTTCTTCCCTTTCGGTTTTGTATATCTAACAAACTTCGGGAAATACATCTGAAAGTACTTCATAATATTTATGTTAGTAACTATACTTTATCAAAATGTATGGATATTGATGAAAAATTTTCATTTTGTTCAGATCAGCCAGAAATAATTCTACTTTTTTTTTTTTTTTAATGTTACCATTCCAAAAAATCCTGGGGAGATTTATCTATATATATTCAACAGAAATCTGGTTATAATTGTGAATTAACATCCAAAGATGTTATCTTATATTTTGAATCAAAAAATGCATCTGTCAATTTTATGATGAATCTAATGATTTTATTTGGTAAATTTCATATTCATAAAAGTAAAAGAAATAGTTCTAAACCCTGTTTGAAGGTCTTTATGACTGATTTTCATTTGTATTTTGAGTCTCTCCAATGTATTGATAACAAAAAATGTAGAGATACAATTTTATTCGCTAAAGAGTTGAAGTTACTTGAAAATGGGTATATGCTGTCTTTTTTTTCTTTAAGTATTATTATTGATTTTTATTTTTATTTTTTCTATGTAATGTAAACCCATTCCTTTAATTGTGTTATCTTTTTGGATGTTTGTTAAAGTTATAAATGTTGCACGTTATGTCTTTAATGTCTAATAAAATTAAAAAAAAACTAAAAATAAAAAAATCAGCATGTTAAGAGCATTTTAAAACAAACATAATTTTTATAATTGGAAAATGTATTTGTTGGCTAGATGGCAAGGAAAGAAAACCTACATTTTGAAACTACTAGTTAACTTTGTTTTCTGCTCATGATGAGAGGGTTTTGATTATTATGTACATTATTTGATTGTTTTTAGTTGATAGGCCTACTTATTTTAAGCAAAATATAAAAAAATTCCAGATTTTAAGAGGAAAACTCTAAACCCTCATTTTCTGTGCCTTCTGCCTTATGTAGGCTATGTATCTAAATGTAAAAATAATAATAACTTGATAAAACATTGACCTTACCTTTTAATATTCATATCTAATTGGGCTTAACTGATGAAAGATTTTATTTATTTATTTAAAGAAAAGTTCTCAAACGCCACTGCCGTTTGACTCTGAGGACCCAATATCCTAATTTGAATGACTATCTTTAGTCATTAAAAATTATATATATATATATATACGTTTTTTGCCTGGAACCTCAGGATCTGAGGACTAGAGAAAGCGATTAGTTAGCCTACTTTTACATGCACCACATGTTAAACCATTGTTTTTTTATTTTAAAATACATTTACATTTAATCATTTAGCAGACGCTTTTATCCAAAGCGACTTACAAATGAGAACAATAGAAACAATCAGACCAACGAGAGAACAACAGTATACAGGTGCCATGACAAGTCTCAGTTAGTTTAGCACAGTACACATAGCTAGGTTTTTTTTTGGCACAGTCCAGGAAAAGGTCTGTGAGAGTGATTTTGTTCCTCTTTGGGATGGCACCACAAGGCGCCGTTCACTTGCAGAACGCAAGCTTCTGGAGGGCGTATAAGTTTGACCTGGCGAGTTTAGGTATATTGGTGCAGCACCAGTGGTGGTCTTGAAGGCAAGCATCAGTACCTTGAATTTGATGCGAGCGGCTACTGGTAGCCAGTGTAACCTGATGAGGAGAGGAGTAACGTGAGCTTTTTTTGGCTCATTGAAGACCACTCTCGCTGCTGCATTCTGGATCAGTTGCAGAGGCTTGATAGTGCATGCGGGAAGGCCCGCCAAGAGAGCATTACAATAGTCCAGTCTGGAGAGAACAAGAGCTTGGACAAGAAGTTGTGTGGCTTGCTCTGACAGGAAGGGTCTAATCTTCCTAATGTTGTATAAGGCAAATCTGCAGGACCGGGCCGTTGTAGCACAGAACCGTGGTCTGTGAAGCTTAACTGATAATCGATCACAACTCCTAGGTTTCTGGCTGTCCTGGAAGGAGTTATGGTTGATGAACCTAGCTGTATAGAGCAGCTGTGATGAAACGATGGGTTTGCTGGCACCACAAACAGTTCTGTCTTAGTAAGGTTGAGTTGAAGGTGATGGTCCTTCATCCAGCTAGAAATATCTCTCAGACAGGCTGCAATGCGAGCAGCTACCGTCGGATCATCTGGTTGGAATGAGAAGTAGATTTGAGTGTCATCAGCATAGCAGTGATAAGAAAAGCCATGCTTCTGAATGACAGATCCTAATGACAACATGTAGATGGAGAAGAGAAGTGGTCCAAGCACTGAGCCTTGAGGAACCCCAGTAGCAAGAAGTTGTGACTTAGAAACCTCACCCCTCCAAGAAAAAAAAAATTACATTTACTGTAAATGTAAAATAATTACAGTTTCATGGTGTTAAAAGGTGTTTTTATTTAATAACTTTAAATAAAATGGCATCACAGTTTTAGTGCTATCATTAGAACATCACACAAAATCTCACTCTTAAAAAAAAACTTTTACAGCCTCCAAAACCCCCTTTTTTGACTCCATACATTCACAGATGGCCAGTTATTCAGACAGCAATCAGCATCAAAAACATTCTTTTGTCTCTATACATACACAAATTGCTGCACTGATGACCGACCATTTAGACAGCAATCAGCATCCAAAAAACATCTTTTCCTTTGATGGCCGGCCATACAGAGAAAAGCATTTTAAAAAAACTATTACAATATTGTTTTTATTACAAATAAGCTGATTATATATTTTCTAAAGATATTTAAAACATTTTATAACAGTGTGTATATATATGAAACATTTTAAACTTGTTAAAAGGGGGAAAATTACACAGCAGCCTTTATGGTTACAGAACCATATAACTGTCCCTGATGATTTCCTCTGCAAACTGGGAATGTTTCAAATTTGTATCTGTATTCTAATTTCATGAAAATTGCCAGTTGGCAATCAAGGATATTTTGAGATTATTTTGCTGATTTTATGCATTGATAAAATGTTATGTAAATATGCTTTATGTTGACTTTAAATCATTTTCTCTTCTCCTCTTCAGATCTGAGAAACTGTCAGAATGACTGACTCCAAGTATTTTACCACCAACAAAAAAGGCAAGTAAAGAACTTAAATGAGCAAATTTAGGCTATGGGATGGTAATAGGATTTAAGAAGAAATGATCTAAAATCCCTGAACAATTTACTCACATTGTCACATGTTATTTTAGACCACATATGTTCAGTTCTGATATTTCGTTCTAAGATTATGAATCATGAATCAGTTTAGTGGTCTAAATTTGGGTCTGATTCAAATTCTGATATAATAAAACAATTTTATAATGAATCAAGAAAATTAGAACTGAACTCAGCTGCCATTGATCAGCATGCATTTTCATGTATGGAAAACCGCTTTATTTTTTGATAACTTCATGGGAAAAATAAAAATAATTTATAATAAAACTTTACCTAAAGTTTCACTTATTAAGAAATAATTATGCAATTAGCAATGTCTTCAGATCCAATTCTATACTTTTGCATGAACCGAAGCGAGAACACACATTATTTATAAGGTATTGTCTCTATTCCAGAATACTGTAAGTCTTGCATTGATTCAATCTTCCGCTTATTTTGTAGCTTATAGAAGATAATGAGTTTAAACCATCAGCATCAGACAACAAAGGCTTTATGTTTGGTGGCACATTTTGTGAATCAGGCTGGTTTTTGAAGTCCTTTTGAGAAAAGCACTGCACATGAGAAACAGATTCTCTAATGACATTTAATGGATATATAGACTTAATACATTTCTCATGAAATGATCAAACTGTTTGCTTGTGTTAAAGGGGGTCATATGATGCGATTTCAATTTTATATATATATATATATATGAAACATTTTACAATTAAATATTTTTACGAATTAAAATCTATTTGAGTCAAATATTGTATGACTTGTCTAGGTGGTCATATTGTATGCCGTTTATTCCTTTTACAGTTTAGATCAGTATTATTTTACAGTATATGCATGAAGCCAAATGAAGGAGTAAAATAAATCAGTGAAAGTTTTTACAAAGCCAGTTTTGTCTGAAAAGAGTGTTTTCTCACCATATGAGGCCTTTAACTCTTATTTTTCTGTAAAGCTGTTAATTTGCGGACTCAAGGACGGGTTAACAGACAAAAACTGTACTGTGAAATAGTCCACACTGAATAGTCCATTTAAACTTAGTATTACCAGTTTAAATCGTCAGTTTTTAAATGTATCCAATGGAATGTACCAAGTGAACCATTACAGAACAGTAAGAAATATATATAATGAAACGTTACAATGCGCCTGTGCTGTTATGCAATACTTCTACAATACAACCAAACATGCGATGTGGTGTTGGCAGTGTTCAAAAACAGTGTTCAAAAAAAGTGTAACAAAAACAGAAATTAAACAAAAGAGGAAAAGGGGGCGGGGCTTTGGGGACAAGTAGTCCCAAATACTTTGAGAAGGGTCTGAATACTTTGGAATCTGTTAGATTGCTTAATTTCTGTAGCTCACTCATTGGTTTCCAATATGAGACAAATAACATTTGAACTTGTGACCTTGTGAACTGATGTAATAAACTCACCGTACCTGTATAAAATCAGCTTACTTAAAAAGGTGCATGACTGCAGCCACATACAACCATATACATAATAAATACTTATAATAAATAGTAATTATAAATAATAAATATTTATTGGCCACAACCACCACATACCTATCAAAATCCTCGAGAGGGTGCTTGGATGCAACAAATGCCTCGTTTGTAATGGGTTTTAATGTTTTGTCTCGTCGCTCCGGCCGGACACAGCAGCAACAGTATGTGAGGGGCGTAACATTTCTATCTCACGCTTGAGGTATCTGGCCAATCACAACGTATTGGATAGCTGGCCAATCACAGCACAAGGGGGCGGGGCTTTGGGGACAAGTAGTCCCAAATACTTTGAGAAGGGTCTGAATACTTTGGAATCTGTTAGATTGCTTAATTTCTGTAGCTCACTCATTGGTTTCCAATATGAGACAAATAACATTTGAACTTGTGACCTTGTGAACTGATGTAATAAACTCACCGTACCTGTATAAAATCAGCTTACTTAAAAAGGTGCATGACTGCAGCCACATACAACCATATACATAATAAATACTTATAATAAATAGTAATTATAAATAATAAATATTTATTGGCCACAACCACCACATACCTATCAAAATCCTCGAGAGGGTGCTCTGCAGAGCCAAATGGGAGGAGCTGGAGCTCTAGCTCCCCCTCGCTGGATGTAATGGGTGGAGCTAGACACCCAACCACTCCCTAACCCTACCCCTTACCCTATCGCTAAACATAACTCCACCCATTAGTTCACACAGAGGTGGAGCTGGACATCCAGAGAGGGGGAGCTGGAGGTCATTTGGCTCTGTGAGCAGTACTTGAAATCCTCTGCATCCGGTGTAACATCTGTGTGGCTCCGATCTCACGCGTTCTTCTCGTTTGTTGGTTCCGCGCTTCATTTTGTTTTTTCCGGGTGCGCTCCATCTTCCAGCGCCGACCAAGCAGAGGCAGCAACCGCATCTTTCATCTGCTCCATCTACTCTTCCAAGTGCTCCAGTACCTAATAGTTTTGTATATCGCGTCGATTCTCACATTCCTTGTGCGTATCTTATTTTTGTGTTTTCATCAATTGTTTGCATTATAATTTAGACAGGACAGATGTCTGTATTTCAGTCGATAGAGGACTTGCTTCAAGGTTTTCACTAGCCTAGCATAGCGGGATCATTTTTGGGTCACGCCCAATTAATAAATTAACAGTCATTAAATTTGACTGAAGTACACCTCCAAATATTAAGTGTGACATATATTTTTAGTTTATGTAGTCCTTTGTAATGCAAGGCTGTGTTACTGTGTTGTCGTTTGTTCGTGTATATGATTATATATTTTCTAAAGATATTTAAAACGACATTTTATAACAGTGTGTGTGTATATA